GAGTAGCCCAAAGTGGCTCTTTCACAGCACGCTCGCCAAACTGATCCCTGTTCACCAAAGTAATCCCTGAGTAATTCAACGTAGCACTTCCACAGCACATTCACCAAAATGACCTCTGAGTATTCACACCACATTCACCAAACTGATCCCTGAGTAGCTAAACCTAGCTGCCTAGCTCTTCCACAGCACATTCACAAACTGATTTCTAAGTAGTTCAACTTAGCTTGTCCACAGCAACCACAGTTTTTAGTAGCGCAACGTAGCTTCTCCACAGCACATTTACCAAAGAGATCGCAGGATAGTTGTAGACTTGTAATGTACTTATCAAAGCAGTTTTTTCCCCACCCGTAGGACTGTGGGGCTGTTAGATTTTAAGAACTTTGGACTTCAGTAGACTCGCTACTTCTGCACATCCACCAGAGTGGTCCCAGCGTAGCTCAGAGCAACCCAAAGAACACAGCACATCCACCAGAGTGGCCCACAGTGGCCCAGAGTAGCCCTTACACAGCACATCCACCAGAGTGGCCCCGAGTAGCCCAGCGTAGCCTTTACACCAGCACATTCACCAGAGTGCTCCCAAGTACCAGTTCCACAGCATATCCACCACAAGTTGACTTGGCAGGGATGCGGGGTTGCCAGGCATTAAAATATCGAAGTTCAGAAACCTCACAAGTAAGTACTCGATGTGTGGTTTTGTTTTCAATAAAAAATCCTTTTCGCGCCGAACCGCTTTTCTCTTGTGAAGACCAATTCTTTGAGGGTGGGGAATTTCGAAGTAAAGTAATTTTCCTGACATATATTCACCAAACCAAACTTGAACTGTTTATACTTTTTCCTGACATAGATTCATCAAACCAAACTTGAACGGTTTACATTTTTTCCTGACATAGATTCATCAAACCAAACTTGAACTGTTTACATTTTTTTCCTGACATAGATTCATCAAACCAAACTTGAACTGTTTACTCTTTTTTTTGCTGACATAGATTCATAAAACCAAACTTGAACTGTTTACATTTTTCCTGACATAGATTCATAAAACCAAACTTGAACTGTTTACATTTGTTTCCTGACATAGATTCATAAAACCAAACTTGGATTCTGACATGAGTTCGGACATCCGGATATAGAGGCTGAAATAGATGTGGGTATTCACACCAAACATCGATCGCTGTCCGACACCCTCCGGCCCCGGGCCCTTGGGCCGTGCGGCAGGCCGTGCGGCAGGTCCTCTCGGTCAAAAGGGCATGGTGTTTTTCGGGGTCAGTGGGGGTTCCACTGGGTTCCAACGATTTCCTGCCTTACTCCAGCTCCCAAATCGAGTTGTACACAACTCTACACATGACTTTCACTGCATGGCTGAATTGAAAAGGAAGCATTGCGCTTTGCGCTCTGACTTCTCATTTCAAAGGCTTCAAGCAACTCAGCCCAAAACGCTCGGCCGCACCTCACACCTTGTGAGGTCGGCGAGCGAAGGCCATCAACGGCACACCATGTGCCGCTAGTGATCTCCTGGGAGGTGTGGTGACGGTGGAACGACTGGAACGACCAGAGTAAGTGGTCTAAAACGAGGACGGTGGAACCTGACATATATGTATACCCTAGACTTCCAACCACCATTAAATTTATAGGCTGCATCCCGAACCAACTAAGGATTTTACACTACAAAACCAGATCAACCATTTTAAGCATGGTCTTTGACCTCCATGGTATATAGACATAGCCTAGAACCCGTTTGACCTCTGTTTTGATGGGAACAGACCATGTTTTGGCTCCAAAACAGGGGTCAATCAGGTTCCAGTCACGAAAGCTAGCACCAGCTAGCTGGAGTTGTTCTTACTTTAGCAAGTGAGGGGCTGGAATCCTCGAGAGCGCCGCATCGCGTGAAAACTTCATATATAGGGGGGGCCCCCACCCACCCCTCCTTACCTTTCTCGGTCGGATATTCCCCGCTTCGCACCCGCCCTGCTAGCTTTCGTCACCAACCCTCGGCCTCAAGTTATATATAGGCGGGACATAACGGATGACATAGGATATTCATACCAACCTCATGACATCATGCCTTTCATGTCTCTTAGTCGGTTTTGGGGGACATCAGAGTTCTTCACCGCCAACCATCACCAAAAGAACAAACACTTCCGGGAAGACACTCCTGCACAAGTAGGTCCTCGGGTTGAAGATTTGCTTCCACATCCTGCTAAACAATAGTACTAGCACTTTGGGAGCTAGTATACCACGATTCTTTTCGCAGCTTTCCGACCAGCATCATGTGAATTTCAAACCTTTGCCCTCCGGACCTGGGAGTGGTTCGGTGTCTGCTTAAATTCCTTCCTTCCAGTCAAAACGTATTTTGTCGAGGCACAGTTTTTGTTCAAGACACACTGAGACAATGCCTTCTTGGATTGTTTCACCACTTGGATTCGTCTTTTTCTTCACTTGTTGGATTTGTCTTTTTTCTGAATGTTTCATAACAACAGCGGCAGCCAGCGACTAAGTCGTCAGCTTGCGCATGACACAGCCTCTTCTTCCAGGCGGTGGCCCTTCTATGGCCTCGTGCGAGGAGTGAGCTTTCCGAGGCGCGTGGTCATAGAGTTGTTTTTTGTTTCTTTTGATGACCACGGCCAAGCCTTTTGGTTGACCAGTGGCCCAAATTTCTCCAGTGACCTGACGAAACCCCTGAAACCGGATGCAAACTGCTTGGACCCACGCAGACGTCGCGGTGTTCAGAGGTTCTGACGTCGGGGTCCGTCGAGGTAAGAGGGTCGTCACTTGCATCAGGTCGTGGAAACACGTTAGCTTTCGCAAGCATGCAGCATGAGACCTGCTGCTCAAGAACTACCTGGTAGGAGACAAATCCATTTCAGGGATGCAAGTCCATTTCGTTGGTTTGATCTCTTCACACAGTTTTCACTTGGTATTGCCAACCCATTCATTTGCAGAAGAACGTGCGTCTGTAGGCACGGGTGCCCCTGGACGGGGCCTGGACGGATGCTCTTCCTGGGTTGGTGGGTTGGTTGAGGGATTACAATGATTACACCCAAGCTGGGCATGGTATCAGGGTTCATCAGCTGAGTTGATCAAGCAAATTTCAATCCCTCACAAGGGTGACCCCTCAAAAGCGTGCATGCACGCAGCCAGCGCCGCGCCCGAGATTCGAGTTGGATGTCTATTCTGCGCCCAGGGCACGTTCCTGCTCCATCTCTCCCTCGAGCTCATGCTGGATCATTTGCAGGTACCGGTTTGTAGAGGATCAGCTGGGGCACTGACAAGCTGGTATTTGTGACCAGAAGAGATCTCAACAATGTCCGACGATGTCCGACTGACCAATCCAGTGCCCATTTGCCGTACTCCAGGGCTCACAAGTCCCAAGGCGGACCACATGGACGTGAGAATTGAATAATATGGCCTTTTACTCCTTACTGTATATATATATATATATCTTCCAGCAGTGCCATGTTGTGGTGCCCGAACGGAGGAGCTTTGGGGTGCCACATCCAGTCACTTCTCCAGACATTTGCTTGGTATTATTTCTGTATGAACAAAAAACACACACAGAATGGTTTTGCATTTCCATCTGAAAGGAAGGGTCTGGACTTCAGTTCACAGTCTACATTCCCTCAACCATCCGGTCGGCCGGGACTCGTTTTCGGATCGGTGCGTTGTAGCGGCGGTGCGCACTTAGCATGGGTGCGCGCTTTCGCTCAGAAAGCGCAAGCATACGCAAGCGTAAAGTCTGTCATGGGCAATGTTTTTTTCCATTTGTCTCCTTTGGCTTTGAATCGATTCCTCCAACGTGTTTTTCGCTGTTGCTGTTTTTATGCGCTCAAGAAGTACTGTGAGCTACCGTCGCAAGCTACTCGATCAGACCTACGTATATATGTCTATGAATATATATTTTGAATTCTATAGATATCTATACTGTATATCAGACAGCGACAGCAACAGTCCAGAGAACTAGATGTAACAGTAGCTTCCCACATGTCGGAGTCATCCTTCACGTTGGCCCGGACTTCGCGGCCCGGAAGCCATTCCACCAGGTCCATCTTCACTTCCGCCCGCCTCCCGCCCGCTTCGCAGGCCGACCCGCTTCGCGAACAAGTGAAGCGATCAACTCGTGCAATGCGCGCGAAATAGCCACGAAACTCGAAGTATCCCGAAAACTGAGTGCGCAATGTTGGTAGAAAGAAGACGCTGTTGTGTACAAAGACCACTCAGAGAGCCCCAAACATCTATGTAGACATACGGTCTTGCAACCTGCTTCGTTGATCATTTGATTTGTTGTTTCGGATTGCGTTTAGCGCTGCGGCGCTGTCCAGAGATGAGTATTGAACAAGAAAAACACAATATCTTATGATGGACCGATGGACCTCTGATTGGTTGATTTGTCTCCATCTTCCCAGAACCAGAACCAGATTTGTGCAGAAAGAACATGTTCAGCATGGGTCAGTCCATGGGAAACAATGGGATCTAGGGAGGGTTACATGGCTCAGTCGTGGGGGAGCTTGCTGGTCATCAAATCCTTGTCCATTTCGATTCTCGCGCAGCTTCCACGAGAATCGAAGCCAGATGATCCATGCATGGATTGCACAAACCCGAACAGTTGGGTGGTTTCATCTGGTTCAAAAGGAATTACATGTGCAAATTTTCCAGTCCCAGACAGGTCGTGTTTGGGAGGCAACCGGTGAGGCACCCGTTTGAAACCGCTTTTCTTCAGCGCACCGTTTCATGCCTGCAGTTTCATGCCTTTTTCAATAGGAAGGGTTGTGGGGGAGGGAAGAATCTCTTGAAATGAATGCATCCTGTCCCTTGGTGCTTCAGTAGGTGACCGAACGCGATCTCCCGGTCTTGAGGTCACTTGAGGCCTGTCACAGGTCTCCAACCAAAAGAGGTCACAAACTTTTCAGAAGGCGGGTCCCGTCGCGTGTCAACGTGATCGATGTAGTCGTTTTTTGGCTCAAACGCCCTCGGAGCGATCAGCTCTTCTTTCCTGGTGATCAGAGATGTTGCTCCGAGCGTGTCCACTACTTGCAGCTTTTTCCCTCGCAGCTGCAGGCCGGGCAACCGAACGCTCGGCGAACGCCAAGTCCGAAGGCAAAGGAATCACTGCACCGCGTTTTTTTTCCACCAAGATCCTTAACCTGCAAAAATGGGAAGCTCGGAAACGATCTATCCGGCTTCCAAACGGCAAAAATCCAGGTGACCGATCTTATGGGAATAGAGTGGCGTACAATTTACAATCCTCCCCATCTCCCGTGGACCAGGCTCGCCGCTTTGCCTGGCCGATGGCATCCCTGAAGAGGAACGTGCCTTTCTGAAGGATGGTCACCTGGAAGAAGTTTCGTCTTGCCGCGATTTGTTTGTGTTTGTGCCTTTCTAAAACACAGCAGGAAGAAGGAGACTACAGCTGGGAAGGTGTTAATCTATACCGTGGGCATAGGCAGAGTCATGGGCATCATTTCTGCATGTGTTTGCTTTCATCATGGAACCATGTCGAGCTCGTTGGGGTCTATGTTGATGGCCCCAAGGTCAAGGCAATGACATGCCCGTGGGCATTTTGGAGCTCAACTGGCCCTCTGCAGGAGCGATCTCGGGAGGAAGTGATCCACGACGCAATCCCCAGCAATGCATGGGACTGAAATGTTTGCCTGCATAGGTGGTATCTTCTTCAGATGTTATAAGGTGAGAGGTTCATATTTTTTAGGGTGATATTCATTTCTTCCAGTCCCATGGCTTGTTGGAATATCATTGTAGACTGTAGACTGTTGCTATATCATCTATACCCCTCATATGGAGATGCAAAACCATTCTGGGTCTTCTTTGGGTTAGATGAATCGACCGTCGTAAAGGTCGACCCTCAATCGATTGGTTTGTCGTTCAGGGTCCTAAGCTTTGGACGCATGATATGTGTGTAGGCACTGGCACACTCCCTTTTCACATGGAAGTGGACAATTCCCTGTTTGCAGAGGGTACGTCCTCCGTATTCCAGGAGGCCCGTCCACGTCCACGTCCATGGGTTTTCCAGGGTATGTCCGGTACGTCCAGGTATTTGACAGCTGGCATGAGAAAGCTAGCCGAAGTCTCAGTCGAAACCAGTGTCTTGGGATGCGAAAGGGCATGAACGAGGCTTGAAGCCGTGAACGAGATAGGAGGAACATGGAGGAACATTGAGAAACCAAGTAGTTTTCCAGCTCCGGAACAGTGGTCGAAGGGGCTCTTTGAGGTGTCAATCCGATTGACGTAAGACTGTGTTTCTGCGACGGAAGACGTCTTGCCACGTCTCCCGCACCTCACGACGTAGAACTACACGTCCCTTCCCACGTCTCTCTCCACGGTCTAGGACTCCTGGCTGAGTTGGCCAAGCTATTGATCAAGGACCGTGCCGTGGCTGGGGCCATGAGTCCCTGTTTCATGGCTTCTTTCGACATACAGATGCGGCGCCCAGGCCGTGGATGTCAGATCGATCTCCGAAGCTCAAAGCAACAGGGGCAACAGGGGCAAAAACCTAGACGGATGGAATCCAACTCGCTCAAAACATGGGGGTTGCACATCTGGGAAGCCACACACACGCTCACGATTTTGGAACTGCGCTTGGGCGCTGAAGTTCCAACGCCGCAGGAGGTGCTGGGTTTCCACGCGGAGATCGGCGAACCCTTGGGAGGCTCAGGGGCGGCACCCATCTATGCTCTCGCGGGGTGTCGTAGCTCGGTCGTTCTAGGTTTGTCGCGGTTTTGCTTGACCCCAAGTGATGTCAAGGGTCAAGATGATTGATGGTAGCTTAGTTGGCACCTAGTCGACTTTGGTGACACCCAGAGTCTAGTCGACAAGTATCCTTTCAAGATTTTCAAGGAAATACTTTCTCTGAACACGTGTCGCACCGAACACATTGCTTTTGGAATCACGCCACCCAAATGCCGCTGCTTACTATGTGCGAACGACGTGCGAACTGAGGCAATTTCAACTCTGCAAACGACAAGCAATGCGGAGAGATGGAGCCTGTGATGCACGTGAGCTTGGATTCTTGGATTGGAAGCTACAGCAGCTTGGCTACAGCAGCTGGCTTGGCCAGCCCTGAATCGGGTGATGATTTCGGGGAGAATTCACATATGAAACTGATTTGGGCTGTTAAACCATGTATTGATGCTCGGCGGCTGTGCAGCCCAACTGAATGAATAACGTGATTTTTCAGGTTCTTCTTTCATGAGGATTTTACATTGGACTCTAACCCTCTAACCCAAGTGATAAAAAGAAGTGGTGTATAAGCACGGGGGTGCGGTCGGGACTGTGCTTGCGCGTGCCAGTCTCATATTATTATCCACCCTCACTGAGCCAAGGCATATACCAGATCTTCTAGCTGTGCAAAATGCTTGCCTTTTCATTTGTAGTTGCCGACCAAGGCAAAAACCAAACCCAAGATGAAGCAACATCATCACTCCCCCATCCGCCCACCCGGCCATTCTAGGGAACACCAGTGCAAAGGAAGAGTCACCCCACAAGGAGTTCTTAACAAGTCTGGACCCAAGGGAAATTACAGCATGCATCCACTTGCATGCATACCTGGACTTCGCAAAGGAGGCTGCGCTGCTTTTTCCAGGTGGTGGCTGTTTTCAGGCGAATCTCCAACTACAGTTTTTTGTGCTGGCTGCTGGCTGCTATTGTTGTTTTTGTCTTGCTTTCGGCACTTTTGCATCATTTTGGTGTGATTTTTTTGGTCAGTTGTTTGGGGCTCAGGTGCATATGTAGTTCTACCCCGGAGGTATAATGGTTCCTTTGGTTTGAGACATTTTGCCGGAGGAGAGGTGCAAATGAACCTTTTGAAATGTTTCAACAAGAGCAACAAAAGTAAATATAACAAACATATGTTTTCTTTCCTGAGGCCTAGTTAGTTCGGGGAGAGGGGTGTGTCCCGACCGACTGGGGAGGAATATGCCCGTGTGGATGGGCATGGGGGAGTGAGAACAACGCCAGTGGGGTTACTTTTGATCAGCTTGCTGCAGAGCGCAACGAATCAGGTGAGTCAACCCTTTCTGCATCGAATCCTCCCTGCATAATTCTTGTGTTGCACATTTGCTTGGCCCTCCGTCCATGTATCACTCAACTACGATGCAACAACTTGTGTACGCAAACCTGCAACCTGCAACAAACGTAGTTTTTGAAGGAAAGACAGGTCCATGCGGGGTGCTACGTATACATGTAGTTACACACACATTTATATACAGTTGTTTTCGTCTTTATACGTGTGCGATATGCAACATGCATGTTTACACATTTTCACAAGTTGCTTGCACTTGGCTCGCAAGAGCACTCATGCGCGGTAGATATTGCATGCCGTTTTATGTGTGTGGGGGTACGTGGAACCTGTTGCGGCTTTTGCCCTGCTGGATTTTGATGGAACAACAACGAACCCCAACTCCGTTTTCGTAGCAGGAACTTGCATTTCATTAGGTGCTAAAATCCGAACCAAGGCAGTGCGTATGAGCAAATGAAAACGCATTATCCGAACATTGCCCCTCTGGACTTGGGATCCATGGGTTACAGCGGGGAGGAGTCTGTGTACGTGGCTTGGCAGCAGCCTTTTTTGTTTCAGGTGTGTGATTTAATCAGCAACTGAGAAGAACAATACAACAATTAGTTGACATGTGTTGGTGGGAACATTATTTGTGAACATGGATGACAAGGGCAACCTTGTTCATCGGTAATGTGCTTGGTTGTGATGATATCCCCTGTTTTGAATGAACATACACCTGAAGCGATTGTTGGGGAAATGAAGAGCGGTGTCCTGTTGGTTCCATTCTTTTTGTTTGCCTTTTCGTTGCTGAAAGAGGACTTGGCCATTAGATGGGACATGTGCGGTGAAAGCAACGATGTGAGGTGCACACCAACCTCTTGCAGGAAGGGTACGAGAATGAAGGCTTGGCTCTTGAATTCTACAAAAGTTCCTGGGCAGCCACAGAGGCCAAAAGAGATGGTTTGTGTGGTGGGTTGAAAATAGGTGGGACAATCCCCAAGAGGTGGTTTATATGGACCAGAATCTAAAGGACATCTTGGGGTTTGCGCCATTTAAATCTATGGCAGCACATCTTCTAGCTGGCCCTTCCGAAAAAGCAGGGCCATGTGAATCCACTGAGTTTGGTCCAGATCTTTGGATGGTTCAACATGTGAATTGCTAGTTGCACCCATTTTCCGAATGGTTCTGCTCAGCTCCATGACGAACCTTCGCTTGGACGTTGGGGGAATAGGATGAATCTCCCTTGTTCCGGAAGGATCAGGTGATTTTTACTCAACAAAAACCGGCCACGAACAGAGTGCCGCCTCCACACCGAGAGCAGAGTTTTCTGCCTCCCGAACCTCAGCGCACCGAGAGCAGGTTACAACGTCTCGCATCACAACGCCAAGCAGTACTTCTCATCGATCTCGGACATTCCTTTTGAAGCCATCTCTCGGTGCAATGAGACCGATTTCTCCAACGCCCAAAGGACCGGTGCTTCACCCGAAGAGCCTTCGGACCGATGGCCTGTGCGGATGCGGACGCGGAATGGGCGGTAGGGACATCACCTGTGGGGGTCGGCGGAAGGTTTTTTTCCCTTTCGGCGGCCCCCTAAGACACCGGTCTTTTTGTTGATCCGGTGGAAACATACGGTGGAAACATACGGTGGAAACCCACGGGTTCGTGTTTCTTTTTGTATCCACAAACACCACAAGAATGCATGCATGTCAGTTCATGTCAGTTCTTTCCGGTATCATGTCATTCTTGTTGGGGCTTTCCTGACTTCATTGCGTCTAATCACTGAATTTATGCGCATCCATGTGCATCCAGTCTTTCCAGTCTTGATTGGTGCTCGGTGGCGCAATTTTCAACAGAGATGGCATGCGGCAGGATGTCGGACTTCGTGAAGTATTCCTTGGACTATGATGGAGTTGAACAGCAAGGCGGAGACTATGTGGCCAAGTGTTCCTTTGCCGCAGCCGCAGGGGAATCCGGGTCAAAGCAGATGTTGATGCGACCTCCATTGGTACACAAACATGGTCTATAACTAGGTAATATCATACACATATATATATATATGTATTATATAGTGTATACAAACCTGGACCCTCCAAAGCACCTTGAACAATGGGACATGACCCTATTTAAAAAAAGAAATAGGTACTTGTACCCAGGTTGCGAGATACTTTGAGACTGCAGGTATATAATAAGGTACTTCAAACAAACTCCTTGGTGTGAACGACTCTTCACATCGATTCCTCCTGTTCAGGTCCTGGGATCGGTCAATCGTTTCGCGTGATCGGTCAGGCCACGTCAGTGTCTGGATGGTGGTCACTCACCGGTGCGAACGTTGGGACGAATTGAAAAGGATGGAAGTGGAGCTTGAAATCAAAGAGGTGCTCGTCCCCCGGAAAAAACAAGAAGAATGCCATTCACATCCGTGTTCCTTCTTCGTGGTTTCGAAAGTGCATCGTGGTTGTGCACTTAGCTGGTTTGCTTCGAACTTGACCCCCCTCCGGAGTCCAGCCTGTGGGTGTGTTACAGCCTTGGTTTGCTTGATTTGATAAAGGGGAGACCCCTCAAATTGTACAAGCAACACATAATATGGCTCCAAAGGTCAAAACACCGACCGGTTGACCTACCTGGAAGGTCGTGGAACGTACGTACATGGAGGACCAGACCTACCTGGTTTTGACGCATTGGTATTTGGTGCTGACCTTCTTCTTTTTTCCTTCCGTTTTGGACCTTCTTTCTGCTGCAATCTCTTACACTCCTGAAAACTAGCACGAACCCAGAGAATGGCAGCCTGAAAGATGGTCCTTTCCTCCAGCACCAGTGGTTTTCCTCCATGGCATCAAACCAGGTGATGGTTCTCCTCGGTCAAACCAGGTCCAGATGGCCGTTGGTGGCCTGCGCCGGCGTGTCGCCCCACTCCGCACAACTGCATTCCGATCCTCACGGCAGGCCACTCGGCGTGGATCTGTGCTCGGAATGTGGAAAATACTGTAAAGGCAGGAACTCCCTTTTGGAATGTCCCGTTGATTTGGCGGAAGTGCTCAAGACCCTGTAGAACGATAGGGAACTCACAAAAAAACGATAACTGTTTGTGAATTTACCATACTTCTTGAACTGTGTTCGTGTGTTTTCGCGCCTTGAAAGGAGGAATTGCACGGGGGTGCCTCGGGAAACCACTCCCCTAGTTGTGGGCCCGAAGACTTGTCCAAAAGCCCTCTTGCTGTAGCAATCTAGGAACAACGTGCAAACACTGCAAAACGATGAACAACTCACTAACCGGAAAGAAAGAAAGAAATAAAGAAAGAAAGAAAGAAAGACAGAAAGAAAGAAAGACAGACAGACAGACAGACAGAAAGAAAGGTTCATGCAGATTGAATAGCGAATAGACGCTAGACTTGCTTTCGATCCCGCCCAAGGAACTGGCTGGAAATTGCAGGCGATCATGCAGTGGGCGGTAGCATATGGTTTGCCAGCTGCTGCTTGGAGTGTGAAATCAGTGGCTTTGCGGATCGAGATCTCACGCACCAATTGACCGGGCTTGGAGTGTGACGGGGAGCGGGCCCTGCGCTGAGACCCCTGAGACGGCATGGACCTGGTAGAGACGTTGGAACCCATGATGGAGGAACCCGAATGGCCCAAAGTTGCTGGCGGCAAAGCTCTTGAAGGCTTCTCTGACACTGGTTACGTGGATGGCTGGGTTGCTGGACGAGGACTTTTCTCTAGGAACCAGGGTGGAGACTCCATCCAGGTCTCAGGTGATGAGTTCGGAGGAAAGTCGCCGCGGTGAAATCCGCTCTTGGCCGACGCATGGATGGCGTTTTGGTTTGCCAGCGCAGATGGGCCAATGGCTTTTAGTCCCGGGAAGTGGAGGATGGCCCCTATAGTGGCTGGACTCCTTATTTATCTATTTTGCGGCATGGCCAAAGAAAAGAAGACCCCTGGCACTTGAATGTATTTCCTGCCATTCGGATCTCTTCGGTCACTCTCCACCCTTTGGAAAGCCGCAGAATTCGTTTTTTGGACAACGCGACCTCTTCCAGGCTGTGGGCATCACGGCCAGTTGGGGCGATTATGTGGCCCTACCGCGGGCGCATCGAGTTCTGCACTATTGGTGGGTGCCCGATTCGACCTTTATCGACGCTTGGATTTAAATCACGGAAGACCGTGGGTGCGAAAAAAGCTCCAGAACTCTGGAGAATGAGGCGTGGGTCGGGCTCCAACTGTCTGAGACAGGTGGTTGGTGTGGGTGTCAGGGCAAGGTTTGTCCCCACCTTCTTTTTGGATGTGGGACAAGAGCCCATCCGGGAGTGTAGCATTCTTTTGCTCGGCTTGGTCTTTCCCGTCTGGCGGTGCAGCATCCGTCGATGTCGTTGATGTCGCGGCGTCGCGGCTACCCTGTACGTAGATCCGATGGGCACACCACAGAGAATGGATACAAGTTCCACCCGAACAGGTGGTGACAGCTTTGCAGAGCTTGGAGGGTCCTTGTAGGAGCTGGGTGTTTTTCCTTGCCATGCCAAGAAAGCTCTTTTGTTCGGGTCACGTCCCACATTTTAAAGTACATACTGACCCTCGGGGCAGGCGATGTGGAACTTGCCTGGTTTCTTGTCACTGGGCACTGAGGACTTGGGACCTCAGCCAATTGGAATGCCGAGGCATTCAGCTTTGGAGCCTTGGATGAAGTGTACCACTGAAAGAAAGCCTGGTATGTGTTGACATCATTGGTCCAAATCCTTTGGGACATCTAGTTGTCTGCAGTGTAAGTCGTAAGTCCAGCAGGGTCCCCCATCCCTGATCGCTGCACGCCCCACCTACTTTGTGAGTGCCTGGAGTCTCAAAGTACCTCAGAAAATGGGTACCAGTACCTGTTGTATGGGGCCATGTCTCATTTTCTAAGGTACGGTACTTTGGAGGCTCTAGGTGGTGCTGTACTTGATGCATGGAAAAGCATTCAGGCACCATGGTACCTGAATCTTTGGGTTGTGGATGCTTGTGGGGCGGCTACTGGTCTTCACAGCCGTCAGGAGTGGAGCATGGGAGACAAGAAGACCAGCGCAGTCGGAAGCTATGTGGCCAAAATGGTGAGCTTCTGGTCAGAAGAATGGCGTAGGTGAGCTGGTTCCGACCGAGGGCACACTTTGGGCATGCCGGACTGAAACAGACCATCCATGTCCGGGAACATCGTCACACTCGGCCTCCAATGCGGTCCGAACGTATCCGTTGCTCCCCCTCGGCCCTCGAAGCCTGTGAGACTCGCCGCGGCGCACGGACCGTGTGAGACCCGGCCTCTTCATCGGAACGCCTCCCACCGAGGCCAAGACCTGTCCTCCAAGGCGCGGCCGATCCAGGACGGGGCGAACAGCTGAAGTGAACGCGGGCGAGCCGGTGGGGTGTGGCGATAGATGTGGCGTTCCGGTGGAATGGGTCGGTTTTCAGGAAGTGAACAGCTTCAAGTTGAAACTACTAGTAACAAGAAGCTACTAGGAACAAGTGCATCGCTAGTAGTAGCAAGTGCCTTACTAGTAGTAACAAGAAGCTAGTAGAAACAAGAGTTCCATGTCCGGGTGCGGGCCCATGGCCTGGAGATGCTTTGACTGGGTTTTCCCCCTCTCAACTCCAACAGTTGGAAGAAGGCTATATGCTCCAGGGACTGCTGAGGGAGTCAGTAGGGATACTCCTGCGGATAACTTTGTGATGTATGCTGCCTTACTCTGAAGAGTCAAGGGTTTATAAAAAGCTAACAAGTACCAAACCCAACCCGCCAGCAATGACCATTAAAGGCAACACAAGCACATGTTGCACACACGCAAAGTAGAAAAGGCAACCCCGGAGTAGAAGGCAAACAGACAAACATGTCAACAAAAACAGCCATCAAAACTGCTTTCACAAAAGAACATGGCAAACACCACATCAATTGAAGGCACCAAATACAAACAGATCATACAACAAACAACAAACATTCAATACATATACAATTATACATAAAAACATGACAAAAGAAGTCACACCAAAACAACTGCCACGACCGGAAGGATACTGCTTCCCTTTATGTGGTTCTGGTTGATTTGTCATATCAATGTATATTTAATATCTAATAACATTTTTTTGTTGAACTAGAGACACCGGTGTTGTTCTGCACAGTTCAGCGATGTTCATGGTGTCTGATTGTTCAACGTTTTCGGCATTGCTTGCGTTGGTGTTTTGCTTTATGATCAGAAGTAGCTTGAGTTGACATCAGTCAAGGCTTAAGGAGAACGAACTCAGATTTGCTGATTCTTTGGACAGCCTCCACTCCGCAAAGACCTCCACCTGGTCGAGTTACCCAAATCGGGTCGTTTGATTGCGCAGCTGGCTGTGTCACAGGAGTTTGTCTCGCAGATCACCTTTGAACTGAAAGAGATCATGGATCTCCTTTTGCAGGTGGGGCTACCTGCATGGCTGTGGGGCCATTGTTTTGGGTCCTCGTGCCACCGAAGCGAGGTTATGAGGTTTGGTTTCTGTGTCTTTCTACATCAGGACATGATGTGACAAAGTACGGGGTTTGTGTGGGGTTGCCAATCCTCCCAGCGGGGGGTTGGGCTTGGTTTGCAGTCACATCCTCTGTGATGTTTGTGACCTTTGAGGGTTGTGGAATCGCCAGGTTCAGAACGAGGGCAGCCGCTACAACGTCTCCTGCGCTTGGGCGCGTCAGAACGTGGCTCGCTGGACCACTTGGGTGCCGGTGAGCACGAACTGCTACGAGGGCTTCGGACTGGCCGACGACCAGGGAGTCCACGTGCAAACTCGAGCCTGGGATGAGATGAACGGGGTGATATGGGATGCGGGTCATGATCCCGAAAGCCAGAATCTGGTTGACATCGTTGGTGGTCGGTTCTTGCTGATTGTTGGGCTGCGTGATTCCTACATACTTTTAACCATACACAAGGCAGACTGAGGTGGAGAGACAAGCCAGAGGTTTGCTTTTCAGTCCCATAAAGTCGTTGCTCAGAGGAAGCATTGAATGGCCTCGTTGGTCCTCCACAACTGAGAAGATCATGCTTTTAGTTGAAACTCCCAAAGGATGCAGTTTTTCCTTTAGGAAGACGAGGGAATGCAGGCCTTTTGTTGTGTTTTAACGGTCCTCACCCTAGCCAATCCCCTGAACTGCAAGGGTGGAGTAGTGCCTGTCCGCCGGGTCTGTGCACCCGAGGATTGAACGGTCCATTGCATGAGGGATGCGTCATAGCCAGGGAGTGCAGTCTTTGCTCGAACATTTTGCTTGTGCCACGAGTAGAATGGTTGGCAGTTCGTTTCCACTTTCTCACCTGTCATTCTGAAGGGCTCAGTGGTCAGACCTGACTATAATGGCGCATTTTTGCAACATGGGTTGAAAAATCAATCCCTTCGACTCATCCCTGCAACCGAGTCTCACCTTCGACCTGCGAGTCTTCACCTGGTAAAGAGAATGGATTGCACAACCAACATGTTTCATGGTTCCAGCTTCTTCAGTTCATGACCTTTTTTGGAGTCGAGTCCCGGTCATTTTACAGGCCCAAGTGACCTCAAACTGGGAGATTGAAAGGTCACTTTGAAGAATCAGGATTATATAATCATTTTCACCACCAACACCTTTCCATGGCTTTTTGTTGGCGTTTCGTATCTCCCTTTCTTTTGAGACAGACGAGCTGCAATATCCCGGATCTTCATCCAAGGAGCCGCGGCAAGCACTTGTGCTGTGTGTCCCGAAGGGACCTTCTCTGAGGAGTTGGCAGATGACATTGGGAAGCTCGGCAGGAAGCTGTTGAACATTGAGCATTGCACACCTCTTTCTAACATGGCCAGCGAGCACGTCTTGGCTTCGCTAAGAAACGTAAAGGGTTCAGAGAAGAATCGAAACGCGGATCACGGACCAGAAAACCCACCACCGCATCACCACATGATTGGGGCCATGTGGCCCAGAAAAGAACCGGGTCGTGTCCGAAGATCTGCGAAACCCGGGGTCGTGTGCCAACCCCTGTGCCCCCCTGCGCCTGAAGATACCGTACGTCGCTGCCCCTAGGAAGACGTATCGCTGCAGCGCCTGCCCGAGTGGGACGTACCAAGACAAAGTCTTCTCCAGTTCCTCAGTGGAAGTGCCTAACTGCAGATGCTTCCTTTGAAAAGGAATCGCTTGTTTCATTTTTTTTCAAGCGAAGTATACTTTGTAGCTACCAGTTTCGAAGGTGCTTTGTTTCTGCTTTTGGGTTGAGGTTCGTGCAAGCCGTGCGCACGGGGTACCTACAGTGACACCATTGGCAGAAAGGAATGCAAACCTTGTGACTCGGTGATGGCGACGCACAGGGCACAGAACATTCGACCAATGCAGCTGCTGGCTTAATGTAGACTCTGGAGAAATCACCCCCCCAGCCCAGACATGGGTTGTAAGACCCCTTCACAATATATCATAAATTGGGCGTTTTCAAGAAGGTCTTCAAAGGCATGCACACAAACCGCATCAACAATGTTCTTTCCGCATAGACAATGTTCTTTCCGCAGCAACAATCTTGTTTTATACACATTTTAAATCTTTTGGATTAAAGGAATAACTTTCCGAACACTAAAAAAGAACTCTAAACAATTTTACAAAAAGTTTACAATGTTCTAAAGAACTTCAGAACTTGTCAACATGCATGTCCGAACACTGGCCGAACACTAATATAGAGCTACAAATTTCTCTTTGTATTTGTAAATAACAACCGTTTGTCGCCCGAACACTAACCGAACACTAACATTCTTAGGGCAAGATGAAATTGCAGAGACACAAAGAGTTCAGTCAGGTAGCTAAAGGAAAATGGGTTGGGCATCGGGTCATGTCCAATGTTTGTTCTATGCTGAAACGGCAAGGTAGTTAGTTGCAAAACAAGTTACAATTTAACATAAATAAATAACAAATATATGGAAGCTCTCCTATTTCCACCACTTCCAAAACATGTGCTTCCCTTTCATATCATGATATAATAGGTAGAAGGTAGACCTCAAGAATGACTATGAATGACTATACTTAGTTTCTCAATTTTCCCCAGAATCTCACGTTTTTTTTGTCTCATGTTCATCGCGCTTTGTTCTCTCTTTTTTTTTCCAGGACTGTGCAAAGCCAAGCTCATCGAGCGCGAAGGGCAGTGCGTCCCATGTGATGAGGAAACGTTGTGGTGCCCTGTGGGCAGCACCATCCAGAAGCTGCAAGGTGGGTCAAACAGAACACTCAAACGTGTGGGGGATAAGGGGTTACAAGTACGAATGAGTGGTGGAAGTTGTTTTTTGTTATTTCTTTTGGTGGAGGTCGTAGTCTTGGAAAGTAGGGAATCGGGTCCCCCCAAAGCCATCCCACTCAGAAAATCCACTTCCATGTGATGCATGTTGTTTTTGAGGAACCATAAAGTAAAAACACGGGACTCCTTCTTCATGGTTATGCCAATGGTGCAGCTGTGAATGGGAATCTGAAACTTGTTGAGGTTTCCGCCAACATCCTCAGCCCAAGAGTTGTCAAACCACTGTAGACTGACCCATGATCACCCAGTCTTCTCTCAACAAGATCATCACTTTTCTCAGCGAGAGGAGAGAGAGAGAGAGAGAGAGAGAGAGAGAAAGAGAAAGAGAAAGAGAAAGAGAAAGAGAAAGAGAAAGAGAAAGAGA